TGCTTTATGTGAAAATAATGAAGAATTCTTTTATTATTATATCATAATATAATTCTAATACATATTTTATATAATTAAAATTTTAATTCTTTATATACATATATATAAATTATCTTATTAAAATTTCACTTATCCTTAAATATAATAAATTTTAAATGAGTCAAACTAAGAACAAATAAAATTAAGAATAAATTATATATGAAAGGAGTCAACTATATTCATAGATAATATTCTTAAGCGTACAATATTATCAACCATATTGAGGATATAATCTTAAATTTTTAAATACTATCATACTGAATTTCAATCGGTTCTTTGATTTAGGTGTTAGTTAATGACTTAATAATAAATTTAAATTGATTTTTAAATATTCCAATTAGCTATAAACTATAATGAAGTCTAAATATTATTAGTAATTATTATAAAACTGATTCTTTTAGACTTTTTTAAATCATTTATTTTAATTATTTATTTAAAAACCTTTAATAGTTATTTTTATGATCCTTTTAACTAGTCTAATCAAGGTCTAACACACATAGTATACATTGTATATACTAAAGTCATTTATAATAATTTAATCCAAAAATATAGAGACATTTATAAGAATATAATGATGAAAGTATCACTATAATAAAATAATATAATATTGATATTTTAAATATTTTAATAAATATTAAACTATTATATCATCTCTATTTCATCTTTGGGTGAAATATTGATATATCTAGTATTTACTCGAAATTATTTATGAAGGAATGATAATATTCAAAATTATTTGAGTATACAACCCTATTATCATCCTATCCCATTGTATAATTATTCAAAGTATATTCTTCTTTGGGATTATATCTTTATTATATGTATCATTATAAATATTATTTTTCTTAATATCATTTAAGACTAAGTTATTGGTCTAGGCCACTTTGGCAATTATAAGACCAATACAATAATATAAAATATAATTTAAAATATCTTATAAATGATAAAATCTCATAAGTCTACTATCTCAAGCGACATTAGTATGTACCAATTAGATAAAACATAGGGATATGAGTTACAAATAATATTCATCAAACATAAATAATACTTTTATATAAAAATAAATATTATTTCATAATTTTAAAATATACGTATAAATATCAAATAAATATCCAAGAATAATAATTAGATTTTTATTTATCATATATAAAATTTCATCAATATGTCATATGAGAAAACTAATTCCAAGAAAATTATAATTTATATTTTTTAATTCCATATGGAATCCTAAATTAGACTAGTCAATTCTATTTAATTGGGTAGACTTAGAATTTTTGTGGTGCTCGAATTTCACATATATTAAATTTTAACTAGGATATTAATAAAAGCATAAATAATATGTATATGTTACGCCCACTTAGTAATATGATTTTAGATCAAAAATATCATCTTTGTTAAATCAAACTAAACTCAATTGAAGTCGTTGTAACATTAGAATTATATTAGTAAAAGAAGAAAAAAAAAGAAAAAAAGGCTTTAAGTGAGGCCTAATGAGATTGAACCTTGCACCTAAGGGAACCTCTTAAACACTTTTATTTTATTTTAACCTTATTTTTTTTACCTAAGTCATCATATTTTCTCTTCTTCGTTAGCTATTCTCTTAGCTTTTTTTATGGAGGTTAGAAAACCCTAGCTCTAGGGTCGAGATAAAAAAAAACTCTATTCTTCCCTTGCTAAACTTAGGGTTTCAATTATACAGATTACAAACTAATATTTTCAACTCCTCTTGAGTAACCTAAACTTTAAATTAATATTTAAAATTTTAAATATATTTTGTATGATTATCTTATAGTTTTAAGGTAAATTTAAGGACATATTCAAATTTTTTGATTTCTTGAGAAGTAAAAATATCCTTTTAAAAAAAATATGATTCTCATACTATTATCGCTGTTGTCGCGTTCCATTGCACCCACACACGCGAGTCTCATCGATGGTACACCGACCGCCTACCCACCACCTATGGTGGTGCGATTATTCTCAGGTGGTTGACACATGATTGTTTGCCACATTATGCTGCTGCGCCCACGCACGTCTATGTGCTGCCATGTCGTGCTATGTCATTGTGCCCACATGCGACTGTGAATGAATTGGTGACTACACCATCACCGTGGTACAATCATTGGGAACTCGACCTTCAACATCCAATTGACGTCGATCGTGGCCAACATATGCTGCCGCAACGACATTGCTATAGCTATCACACACAACGGTAGCCGCTGCGGTCACTATATATAATGGCAATCATCGCAGTTGCCATAGATAGCGGCACTACTATAGCCCCTTACAACTAAGGCAGGCTAATCGTCGTAAGTTATCACACCCTACGACGCTTCTACTGCAAATGCAATTGCTACCTGCGATAGAGATGATGACCACCAAAGGTCGTTACCCTCAACAATATTATCATTGATAGCAAATTGTTAATAGTGCTCCATCGATCAAATACAAGGAACCTTGCATCACCCGCAAATAGGCAATAAGGCGGAATAGATAGAAAGCATAATGACAATATAAATAGACCGTTCAAACATCGTAAATCAAAACTAGATAATACTTTTTCGTAAGTGAAGGGTGATAATAAACATATCTAAATACACAATAGATATAAAAAAATTATAATATAAAGTATTTGATTTCAAAACATAGCTTTGGTGTCAATTGTAAGTATAAAAACTGTACTATACTATTATTATATAAAATTTTTAATGTTCGAAATTAAAATCAAATAATAATATATTAAATATAGGATATGTACCTTTCGTTGTTATTCAAAAAACCTTTATCTAATATGTAAGGTGCACCGTGAATATGAAAGCTACAATGATATTGATCGACAAGAAAATCTAGACTCATTTTCTCTCTTTCTATCTTTCACAGAATCACTATGAGCGATGGATTAGAGATAAAGGGGAGATGAAAGAAGAACTATAATATCTCAATTACTGGTTGAATTATATTTGTCCCTATAAGATCCTATCCTTTTTATATATGAGAGCAGAAGAACTAGGATAAATAATTAAGAGAGTCTCTCCTATTAAAGTTATCTCATAAGAAATCCTATCATAATTAAAAATTTTATTTATCGATAATTATAATCATAATCGAATCATATCTATCATATAATTTACTTGATTACATAATTTAACAAAGAGGAGTACATATATGTTATTTCTACGAGTGGATTTAAGTCCATCAATGTCGAACTTAAGCAGGATCCATTCTTAATTACATAATGACCAAATCTACTTCTTGCTTCACTAGCTTTTAATGACCGAAATAAACAAAATGGGATATTGTAGATATGGCCCCGTCCTCTTAGCTCAGGAGAAACATCGACTGTGAGGGGCCCGTCCTTCACCCTTTGTCTTAGCCCAGGATATAAACATCGAGCAGAACCAACAAGCACAAAAACACACCAAGCAATGCCTCATAAAGAATATTGACTGGGCCCTCTGTGAATGCAACATCCCTTTTCATCCATTCTTGTGTTGTTCTAAAACCAGTCGATGCCTGCTTTGATACCATGGGTTAATCCAATGTTTCTGGTAGTCCAAATGTCTAAATGTCCAATTTTTTCCTCTCATATATCTTTGTTGGAATGACTAAAATGTAGTGTTGTGTTCCACAATCTCGGTAAGATCATTATATATCTGATAAGCAAATACATAATATGCTAACCTGATTGTTTAATTTAATCTAAATGAATGATTAAATGCTATTACTAATACCAAGTATCCTTTTAGGTTTAGGTTACTCGATATTCTTAAAGCTTGAAAGGGTTCACCACAGACTTTATTCCTTCATGACACATTGTGGAGATTCCTGTCTTTCCCAAACTAAGATTTGTCTAACTGGCCATACAAATTATGCAAGCTATTAAGTCATTAAGTGAAAAACAAAGGATTTGTGGTGTTTACTTTTTTTTTTTTTGAAGTAGTAGGAGATAAAGGAAGGTGGAGAAGAATTATTTTTGGCATCATCTGCAACATTTCCTTCACTCAATCTATGTCAAAACACCACAACCTATGCATCTGTATTTAAACTTGGATCTCTCTAGGTGGCTATGGGACCATGGAGGAACTCTTTAGAGATGATTGCTCATAAAAGTCTGCCAAAGTCACACACACACACACACACACACACACATATATATAGAGGAAGGGGTTGAGAATTTGGGGTAGGCTACAATCCACTATAAGAATAGTAGATTAGAAGAAAGTGACCAAACAAGGGAGTTAAATCTTTTCTGTCCAAAATGTATTCTGCATTGTTTTTCCATCTGGGTGAAGTATATCTGTCCAATCATGCTCCAATTTCTTTGCGGTGTTCTTTCAGTCAATTTCATGCCTTTAATTTTATAATTTATGATATAATTTTGATTGGTATGCTGAGTTGGAAATTATCAAAATAGAGTTACTGACGGATTCAACTGAGATTTAGGCAATACCACAATAAATTCTTCTTGTCAATCACTTTGAATAAGAACATCATTCAGATGTCACATTTTACAGAAGATAAATCTTTCAGTCACATTAACAAACCAAACAAATAAACTTAAAACAAGATAGGCATTTTCTTGACATTTTATCTCTAATGAATAAGAACACAAATTATCAAAAGAGTTACTGACTGATTCAACTAAGATTTAGGCAATATCACAATAAATTCTTCTTGTCAATCACTTTGAATAAGAACATTCAGAGGTAGCATTTTACAGTAGAAAAATCTCAGTCGCATTAACAAACCAAACAAATAACCTTGGAACAAGATTGGCATTTTCTTGACATTTTATCTCTAATGAATGAGAACACAAATTATCAATATAGAGTTACTGACTGATTCAACTAAGATTTAGACAATATCACAATAAATTCTTCGTGTCAATCACTTTGAATAAGATCATTCAGAGGTAGCATTTTACAGAAGATAAATCTTTCAGTCGCATCAACAAACCAAACAAATAACCGCAGAACAAGATTGGCATTTTCTTCACATTTTATCTCTAATGAATGAGAACACAAATCTTGTTTATAAAATCAGAATTTCGTAAATCATGCCTTGCTAAAGTCCATCACTCTCACAATAGTAACGGATATCTTAGGAACAGCTACCTAATTGGAATGCTTGCCAGAAACACATATTTCTCAGTGTAAGAGTTCAGATATTAATAGCTCTTGTGACATTCTAAATCAGTCCAAAAACGAGTCAGTGCTGGTACAGATGTCCTCCGTCGGTTGCTTAATTCATGGGATGTCAGAGTTGTTTGATCCTGTTAACACCATCACGTAATGACTCAACTGTATATACATTGAGTCCTCTTGTTCGGCCAGGAGCACCTCCTTTAAGTGATGATATGTCAAGCATAAACCTACCCAGATAACAAGCAGAAGAGTCAGGATTAAGATCAATTGTTATTGATGTGTTATCTGATGACAAAACAGGGTGACTTACAAACTAGGTACTTTCACACCAGTGCCATTAGTGCCACAGTGTAAAAGGATTTTTTGATCTGCCCTAGATTCCATGTGAGACACATGAACTTTCAAGTTCTTTGTAGCTGCATGAACAAGGTGATATATATGTTTTTATTCCAAATAGTAGCATAATACCACAAAAACACCAGGAGCTAGTAACTTACTTGGTTGATTTAGGGTATTAGCGTTTTCATCAGAAGCAAGTAATTTCTGACAAGAAGAAACAAATCCAATTGAGACATGGTTCATTTGTCACATAATTCTTATCTAAAAGATATGTTTTTTCCATGAAAAGGAAGTAGGCACCTTAAGAGTCTCATAGCATGTTTCTAAGTCATCGTTCACCAAAATATGATCGAAAAGACCAGGAGATCTTCCTTCATCAAGCTCTGCTCTGGCATTTCTTAGTCTCTTCTGGACCTGTTCCTCAGTCTCAGTAGCACTGTGTAGAATGACTAGAGAAGCATTATGATAAATTTTCTAGGTCCATTGCACAAATTTCTGATGAATTCATGAGCAGAAATATTTAATATTTTCAAATGAGTATCTATACCGTGCACGTAGACGCTCCTCCAGCTCCTCAAATGATGGAGGACAGATAAAGATAAATATAGCATCAAGAGAACTTGCCCTCACTGATCTAGCTCCTTGAACATCAATGTCCAGAATGCATCTCTGAAAACAGAAAACCTTCCAAAATTTAAAAAGCGCAACACCAACAGAAATGTGTAATTGAATAATCAAATATCATTGTTGTTTATATCCATGTATTCATGGAAGATTCAGCAAATACCTTCCCAGAGTCTGTAACTGCCTCAACTGCTTCAATACTTGTACCATAAAGATTGCCATGAACTGATGCAAATTCAAGAAATTTCCCATCTCTTATATCTTTCTCCATAAGGCTTCGCTCGGTGAAGTGATAATGAACTCCATCCAATTCCTTCTCTCTTGGTGCTCGAGTTGTGTGACTAACAGAAAACCCATATTTTGATGGAAATTCCTTCATAAGTTTGTTTATCAAGGTGCCTTTGCCAACCCCAGAAGGTCCACTGATTACAATTGGTTTTGGGGCACTGCCAATAACACCCTTACTCCAGGCAACTACTTCTGTTCCAAGTAATTTCTTTTGCTCTTTAACAAAAGGGGTATCCACCTACCAAATTATCCAAAGAAAAGGTGACCAACAAAAACTAAATGAAGGACAGTCTATCATCTAAATTCTGTGAGCACGTATAAATAAACAAAGTCTTGCACCAAAATGATTCCAAACGCATGGTACCAACACACTAACATAAGTAGGCCTCTAATGATGAATACTGAATTGAACTGACAATGGTCTATACACACCAAAACAAAGATCTGTACAACATGCTGATTTCTCCATGTCATTAAAAGACTATCACTTAAACCACACACATGATTCCACTAAATAGCCTCAGAACATAAGAAATTGTTTGCCATTACAACTTTAAAAGAGATTGTTACTCAAGATAAATATTCCGAAAACATGAAGTTGTTGAATGATGTGCACAACAGAAGAGCAACAAAGCTGAATCCACACTCTTACCTCAAGAAACCAGATGCAATCATCCAATGGATAATCCTTCTTTACAATCAATATCCGTCCATTGTTCAGAAGAAGAGTCGAGTGACCTTTCAGTTGAACAGGTTTCATACCCAGGACAGTAGGAATCAACCTGTTAAATTCAGTTAAAGAATTAATTGACCCAATCTTAGACATAACCTGAATAACCAAAATTAGAAGAGGCTAATATGCATCATACCATGATCTTGTCAAATTATCAAAAATTTTGACATTTATCCATGACTTGCCTCCATCCTCAGATCCTTCAACTACATACTGAGCATGCAAGTACAGGCTATTAGATCTTGCATGACATATGTTACACTAGTCATTAGCTTGACAAATTGACATAAGCCAGAATAATAATGTCTTACTGTCTTATCATCAACAATGGTAGACGTCTGATAGTCTTTCGATTCAGAATCACAAGCAACAGGTAAATGCCCATCCAAGCTGTTCAAAAGATGCTCAGGTGCTTCTTCCCCCTGGTCATCAATTCCCAAAAGATCCAACATTAATAGACATTTCATAGACCATATCTATATTTACAAACACCAAAGAACCAATCAGGCAAGTAACAAATCCATTGTAACAGGCGGATCAGAATGCAGGCATATAAATAAGAACGAATGAATCAGAGTGCGAACATATAAAAAGGATGAACTGACCATCAAAATTAGTCTTGCTTCTACAAGCCTGCCCCTGAACAAAAAGAAAAGGGAGCAAAGCCAATCAATACAGAAACAGATCACACAAACAGAACTAAATAGTTCAAACTTAATTATTTGAAGTCAACCAAGACCTAGCAAACAAATCAAATACTTCAACGAACAATTTGCACCAAAATCAATAAGATCCACTGTCCCTTTAAAAGAAAAATACGATCTTTTCCTACACATCACAGCAAAGGTTACTCCTTTCTTTCAAATCAAGATTAAGAACAGAAAACTATGTTGAAATTCCATAAAAAGGATTTTTTTCTCCAATGTAATAATCAACTAATGCCAAAAAGAATTGCCCAAGGAAAAGGAATAACCACCAAAAAGAATTCCTGAATCGAAAACCCGAACGCAGGCACAGAACAAACAACGCAGGCAGGCAAGAAAGGAAAGAAAAGGAATACCTGAATCTGAGAACCAACCTTGATCCGTGTGAGGTCTTGGAGATCTGGTGTTTCTGGCGTCAACCAAAGGCTGGTCCAGAGAAAACAGCTCACGAACAGCCAATCTTATTGCCCTTTTCCTTCTCAATTCCCTACTTTCTTCCCACCGATCTCCCCCTCCCCCTTCCTTTAAATAGAGGAGGCTGTTGGGCTGTTCTCGAAGGAAGAAGCGCGCTCTCTCTCTCTCTCTCTCTCTCTCTTCCTCTCTCTGGCCAGAGAAGAGAGGAAAAAACCAAAAGTGAACCGCTCTTCATCGGGGGACTGTGAACCGGTCTATGACCGGTCCAGATACGACAAAGCTATGTGCAGATGCAATCGCGACCGTCCATTTCTTCCAGTACGACGGCGGCCGGGTTTAATTTGATGGTGAGGACAATAAGTGCGAGAAATTTTGTGGCAACATATGTAAGCAATAAATAGGTCTGTCTCCCTATCAAGAAATAGATACTTGGATGCAAGTGGAATCGGATTCCAATCCAATTAATAATAGAAAATGGTTTTGTATGGTAATAAAATTTAGGTTTTCTACAAGGAAATTAACTATAATATTTGAACAAAATAATTTTTTAAAATATTAATAATATTATTATTAATAAATATTTCAATGCGCCAAAATTTTTTATCGTCATTATTATTACTATATTGTGAGCTTCAGATTCGCCCAAAAATCAATGCACTTTGGTTGAGGAGAACAATGCTTCGCATATAAATCATGAATGGAAGGGAAATCATAATTTCCATGCTAGTAAAATCTCACGTGGATCTTTTCTTAGAGAGAGAATGATGTACTATCGCGGATGGACCCACCGTATACTAAACCCCAAACATCGTATCACTAAATCACATAGCAATCTAAGTTGACTTGAGTATATAGATTTTTTGGAATGCGAGTGACTATGGAAAACCAGAGAGTTTTACTGTTTAAATATATATATATATATATTTTCTCTATGAAGAACATTAGAGACAAGGAAATTTTGGATTCGGATTTAATTTTAGGCACCGACAAGACTAAATTTATATATCCTTAGTGGTTGAAATTAAAATAATACTTTCGAAAAAAAATGAAAAAAAAAACCACTGAAACGAAAAGAGTCAAAGTGGAAAAGAGAATTCTTTTAAAATGTTGCTTAGTAACAATATCGAGTAAGATATTTCGAATATCTATTTCTAGCTACCATATTTAATTCAAATCTTAATGCATTTTAATTGGTTTAAGACGAGTTTACATAGGAAAATAGGTATGTGTATTTAGTTGAATTCAAATTAAAGTAAAAAAATAGTGGGGAATCCGATTAAATAAATTACATGAGGAGAGATGGCTATGGGACCAAATCTAACCTACCAAGTTGGGGGAGGGAGAGCATTAGGTTCTTTTTCTTGTTGTCCCAACATGCAATGTTTCTTGCTCATATCCACAGTCATGTAAGTGGTAGAATAGAATACCACCTAGATGATGCTCAAACCACCACCTCAGCCATTACGACAAACTCAAATGCCGAGATTGACTTGGTCTTCTTGATGAATACTGCTGGCTCACACAAGAACAAAGAAGAGTCCTCCATTATTTATTTATGTCGGCCACACTAGCGATAACTTGAGTAAATCTATATTTCTTTGCATATGTAATGATAAAATTTCTTCATTATCATTTATATTATAAAGATTCGAGTCAAAAAAATAATTATTACATTTGTATAAAATCGTATGCACTGCTCCTAAGTTTGTACCTCTACTTGTACGGTTAACATGCATAAATGTATACATGCAATGCATTGCGTTATAAATCTATTGTTGGATGAAACAATATAATGTCTATAAGAATTCATCTTTAGACATGAGCTCATGTAAATATATCTATGGAGAATGTACTTTAGTACGTACAAAGGTATACAATCATAGATCTATAGTCTCTCATATCTCATGTGACTTCAGTATTATATATCCCTTTTGAAAATAGTATTTTCAGTACTATATAGTGCTATAGTGACTTGGAAAAGGACTCCTTTAACATCGCAAATTGTGTCAAAAGGGGAGTTTAGCATATTGTTTCGACTATAAGACCACTGTGATACCACATCAGCCCCAAATCAAAGGGTCCCATCCATATCAAAATCAAAATTAAAAAAATATTCCTTCTAACTATATTGATTTAGAGAATCTTATTGAAAGACACAATGATATCAACCTAACACTAAAAAGATGATAAAATAGGTGAGAAATAGTATTTTAATTACTTAACACAAGATGAGAGTTCGGATTCGATCGAGATTTACTTCTACACTTATCACATGTTATGATGTAAAAAAGATAGGAGTTTGACGAATGACCAACAAAACTATATTAATGGTCATCCTAACAAAAATATAATACCTAAGTTTATTAAAGAGCTCAAGAAATTTAAAAATGTAATGAGAAAATAAGAGAGTTTCCATACCTCTAGGAACTTTGATAGTGTGGTGGAACAATTATTGAGCCTAAGTCATGGTTAATATCGAGAATAATTATTTAGATTATCTAATCATTATTTAATCGTAGCATCATACATAAAAATATTGAGATAACGAGTATGGGTAACATTTCATCTTAACATTAGGACTATCAATTATCATCTTGAGCAAAAGAACTCTCTTGTTATGTTAGGATAGAGTTAATATCTACGTCACCTATTACCTAACGATTTGGTTAGTATATTGATCAAATGGACATGATATGTTCAGTTTAATCTCAAGCTCATATTCTCATTTTCTATGTTCTTATTCTTTATTTGACTTTTGAGTGTCACACAAGTTTAGTAAAAATATTTTTAATGTTAGTGCTCATCATAGTATATTAATAACTTTTTAAAAGTTTGAATATATCAACTAAATTGGTAAAAGTTTTGATAATTTATCTTAAAATCCTAAATTGAAACTCCATCTTTTTTTTCGGTGCTCTTCGAACTTACGGCTCTATAGCAAGAGGAAAATGAATCGGGTCAGCTCCGCTCTCTATATGGGAAAGATACTAAAAGATACTAAACTTTGACATATGAATCAATATAACATACCAAAATTTCTTTCTTGTATTCGTATGCATACTCATCTAAGCACATCACTACTCTCCAACACGGCAACAAGCAATTCTCCAAGCACCTCAATATCATCACACATGTTTCATCCTTCTTTGCATAAGAAGATGGTATGATCAGTTCTCATCGCAAGTTTTTCCTTGGTAGGTGAGGTGGCTAATAAGACCACAACTATTTGCATGTTTTCCTCGATGCATGAGTTAAATCCAAGAAAAACATTTTGGATTGGGATAGAAAGGTCAATTGTTCTCGTTCTTGGCCACTTGTAGAACGACTCTAAACGTGAAGCATACTGACTTCCTTTTTATTCATATGTATACATAATTTTCACTGTTTGAGAGGAGAAAAAGATGTTACTTCCCCCACCTTCCACACTATATAATAAGATTCAAGAAAGACTTGGAAACGGAACTCCATGTCATCGATCAATAAGATTCCAAAACCTAATGCATTATTGAAAAATCAAATCATTGATTTGCTAAGTTATTTGTTAATATTAAGGAATATATGATAACTAATCAATAAGGGTTGAAATTATTACGAAAACAATAACAAGTGCTAATGTCCAAACCATTTGCGAGTAACTATATGAAACTTTTGCTATCATTGTTCCTTATGAAAAAAATATACAACTATTTAAACCAAAGAGTATTTAAATATTTATTTATAATTTAAAATATAATATTTTTATATTTATTATTATTTTATTAATAATTATTTCACCGTTTATTACTATGACATTTATATCTCTCGTCAATATCATTCTAAATATATATATTTTTATTTTATCATCTATCAAAGTTTATATCATTCTATTGATTTAATAGTCAATATCATGCCAATAATAAGTTAAAGTCTCAAGGACAAGGCCTAAAATAATTAATCACTTTTATAAATCAATAGAATTAACTATTAGAACCAAATATGTAATGGATACATCTCCCATCCCCAACTTGGAATATATTACAGCAGAGCACACACTTCCCCAAAATATAAAATAATATAAGAAAGTTGAGCCATCACTCCAGGAGTACTAAACATTTGTCATTATTATTGGTGGGGAACCTCCGCAATAACTAAAATATAGCAGGAGATTAGGATTCCTTGGATTGAACAAAGACGTTTTGAAATGGTCAACTCGAAGGATGCTCAGAATACTGACAGCCACGTTGAACACCCACTTTCCTCGAAATCGAACTCTGTACTATGAAGATCTGCTCTCTCGACCAGAGCGGGCAACAGCCTTATGGCGAACGGATTTCGACCTCGTCGGTGGGGCCCATGGCGCACGGCTAGAGGATGCGGAAGGAAAAGGCTGAAGCTTGTTTGGATTAATTAAAACAAGGAGACGAGACGAGAGGCTTCGTCGTTGGCCTCAAGTTGACCGGGGGAGGTCGGCAGATGCACCGAATTGTTCGGCTTTGTCATCTTCCTCTGCCCACCCTTCACTTCACGCTAAAGAAGAACAAGTCGAAAGAGGAGGTGGTGGACGTCCTCCGCTTAGATCTCAAGCAACTTTTGCCTTCATATGTCTTCTCGTGTTCAACAGTTTGACTTGAGATGATGGCGTTGACAGCTGTGTCTGTCTCTTCTCTAAGTCTGGATTTTATAGTCAATTATATCTATCTGATTCATTTAAATATAATTAAAGTGTTTAAAGTTGAATTAAAATATTTATTAACTGAATTTGAAAGATGAAAAGGGAAAAAATAAAAAAGATACAAGTTGAGGGTTTGGATTTTGGAATAAGCTCAGGCCCACCTAAGCAACATTTATCAACTCGATGATCAAATTTGGGACCAAATTAGGTTTGATAAACGTTCGGACTCGTAGATAGGATGAAATTAGTAAGTATTTCTAATGATTGTTATTTCTCTCTTTTTATAGGTTGTCTTAATTAATTGAATTGTTGCAGGTTTATTATAAAATTTTAAATTATAGTCTAATAATGAAACTTAATGTATTTTACATACAATGTGTGTGTATCGTTAACAACAATTATTATGTTAATGTAATGTGTTTATTGTAGTTAAATCTCTTCTTGGCTTCCTGTATATCGTTCCAACTTAATGTTTTCCAACTCAATCGAAAGAAAGAAAGAAAGAAA